GAGTAACGGGTATCTGATAGTCGGGGCACCCGACTATAGCGTTCTCTCTTGTTTTTCTATGAAAATTTGTGAAAACATAGTTTAAATGTTGTACTTTGATACGCTTATAAAATAATTAATCTGACATAAGCCGTATAGTCTGACAAAATTTTTTAGAAAAGGGCTTTTTTGGCCGATTACCCTCTTAATAAGAGATTTAAGTTTTAAAATGTTATTTTCTAATATTTTCGGGCTGGAATACGTGGTGCAATGGACACCGGAGTCTCAATAAGTTTTATATGCATGGCACTTGCTAACAGAATTACCAGATACTGAAAACGAAAACAACTAGCCGAAGGTTATAAAATGCGAGTTAAAGATGGATATACATATGAACAACGAAAAGAAATGTCAACGAGAAGAAAACTGAAAATAAACTGTTCCAAATATTTATCAACTCGATGACTACAGGTTAAATTTATATTACCAAATAAAAACAAGAGAGAACGCTATAGTCGGGTGCCCCGACTATCAGATACCCGTTACTCAGGTAAAGGGAGTGCAGGGAGATGGAGATAGAAACTTTGATCACGCATAACTTTTTAACGAATGGTCCGATTTGAATTGAAAAATTTCTTCTACATTTCGATAGGTATTGATAAAGCCTAGTATCCACTTCGACGTAAACCGTACGCCAGTCATGAGAGAGAGCGAGAGGCAAACAGCTGGCGTTCACTTTTCGTCGGGCCTTTTTTCACTTCGGTCTCCTGATCGACGAAAAAAATACCAGAAAATTCCATAGCGTTGCCAGTCTGCGGAAATAAACTTTGGGTGAACCCTAGCGAAAAGATTAAAAAATTTAATCTTTTGGCGTGCGCTTCTCACTGAACATTATAAGAAATGGAGGGAAAAACTCAAAAACTCACAAAAGTCGATTGCAGGTGTTTACATGTGAGGACAAAATAACATTAATACTATCTGGGGTGCCTCTTGTCAGAGAAAAATGTTTTTTAGGTCCAGAATGTACGAAAAACACAATAAAAGTGCAGCTATGAACTTTAAATTAGCAAATAATTATCAGTAAATTAAAAAAAAGAACTGTTAATTTTAAATTGTATTGTTTTTTAATTTCTTTGTACAGCGGTAGACTTTTCTTGCCAAGGTATTTGATAATATCTTTTAAAGGCTCTTTCCCGCAAATACGATATTTGAATTTTAACTGCTTGTCAACAAACCCAGCTGATTAACAGTACGACCGTAGCACGCTTAACTCTGATGAACTCTCAAACTTTTGGTCACACTGGAAAGATTAAAGTTTTTACGCTAGCGTAATCGTTTGTCGATCTGGATACTAGGCTTAAACACAATAAAACTGCATTTTTACTTTTCCGAAATATTTAAATTTTTAAAATCGTATATTAGCGATTGTGGGCGTTTAAGGGGCGTGGCACCTTTTGAAACAAACTTGCGCTGCGTAGGAACTCCTAAAATCTACATGCAAAATGCCAAACTTCTAGCTTTTATAGTTTCCGAGATCTCAGCGTTCATACGGACAGACAGACGGACAGACGGACAGACGGACAGACAGACGGACAGACGGACATGGCTATATCGACTCAACTAGTGACCCTGATCAAGAATATATATACTTTATAGGGTCGGAAACGCTTCCTTCTAGCTGTTACATACTTTTGCACGAATACAATATACCCTTTTACTCTACGAGTAACGGGTATAAAAAATATAAGTCAATAAGAGCTACCTGGACACTAGATTGAATGAATACCGGATTATGCGCTACGCAACCATGCAAAAAGATTAAACTAAAACAGCAACAACAACAAAGATACGCTCCAGGCAGATATTAATAAGTCCGCAATTGTGATCAAGTGTTATAATTGCAATTCAAAGGGACAGATGGCCAATGAACTACGCAAAAGTAAGAAGAAACCTGGATTTTGTTTCGTCTGTGCTGAGATGTGGCACACTTCAACCAACTATCTGAAATCCAAGAGAGGCGAGCTCAATCAAATTCAATTGTAAGAAAGTTATTGTATTTATTTACTAATCATCTCATTAGAAACCTTATTGATACTGGAAGTCAAATTTACTTTATACGTGAAGAACATGTACCAAGCAAATTAATTCAGTTATAATTTTTTTCTAAACTACTATGGAATAAATAAGAGCAAACTGGTCATCGTTGGAATCATATAAATGTAAAATCATATTTGAAAACCATACATTTAATAACAATTTTTTTCTTGTACAGACAGATTTTTTTAAAACAGAAAGATTTGTGATAATAAAAGGAAAAAAAAATTATGAAGACAAAGTAGGAAAAGTCAGAAGTCAAAAACTAGAAGACCTATTTAGATTATTATACGACAACAAGAAATATAACACAACCAAACAAGAAAGCAAGCAAACTTCGGCAGGCCGAAGTTTATGTAATCTAGCAGTTATTACAAAACGAATGAAACAATGAAGCTATGTCGATTTGGCGTTGCATTTGGCCATCGTTTCTATGACAGCTATATGATATTATTGTCCGATTTTAATTTAATTAAAACTGTAATTACATAATATTTAAATATTACCAAATCCCAAAGAACAACAAAAAAAACAAGAAAGGAAAGCTAACTTCGGGTTGGTTTCAGTCAAAAGTTTGTAACGCAGAGAAGGAGGCATTTCCGACCCTATAAAGTATATACATATATTCTTGATCAGCATCACTAGGCGAGTCGATCTAGCCATGTCCGCCAGTCCGTCCGTTTTTACGCAAACAAACTAGTCCCTCAGTTTTAAAGCTATTTGACTGAAACTTTCTCAAAAGTTGTCTTTCTATTGCAGGTAGTTTATAAGTGGGAACGAGCCGGATCGGGTGACTATATCATATAGCTTCCTTAGGAACAATCGGAAAAAAAAATTTTTTTAATATAACTTTGTTGTTTCTAATTTTTTCTTCTTGGGATTTGATAATATTTAAATATTATGGAATTACGGTTTTAATTCAATTAAAATCGGACAACAATATCATATTGCTGCCATAGGAACGATGATAAAATGCAGCGCAAAGTCGACACAGCTTCATTGTTTTTAGTAATATAGGCATAGAAATCGAAATGTAGTCGATTTGAAATAATTGCAACGGTATATCAACTCCGGCCTGCCGAAGTTTGCTTCCTTTCTTGTTTTTGATTTCTTTTTTGTTCTTTAAGACTTTGTAATATTTGAAATATCATAGAGTTTTAATTAAATTAAATTATATAGCTCCGATAAAAATAATTCAAAAATTTTAAGACATTGAAATTAAAAAATTGTATTTTGCTGTATTTCTATTTATCTAAATATTCCTTCGAGAAATAATTATTTACTTTATCAGAATTACGCTTTAAGTTTTGTGAAAATCGGACAACAATATCATATAGCTGCCATAGAAACGATGGCAAAATGCGGCTCAAAATCGACAAAGCTTCATTGTTGTTAGTAATATAGGCATAGAAATAGAAATGTAGTCGTTTTGTAATAACTGCAAGGGTTTTTTTGTTTTTTCTTTGTTTTCTTGTTTTTATACCCTTGCAGAGGGTATTATAATTTTGGTCAAAAGTGTGCAACGCAGTGAAGGAGACATCTCCGACCCTATAAAGTATATATATTCTGATCAGGATCACCTCCTGAGTTGATATAGCCATGTCCGTCTGTCCGTCGTCCGTCTGTCTGTTTCTACGCAAACTAGTCTCCAGTTTTAAAGCTATCGGATTGAAACTTCACACACCCTTCTTCCTTGCACGCAGTATATAAGTCGGAACGGCCGGATCGGCCGACCATATCCTATAGCTGCCATATAACTGATTGATCGGAAATGCCATAACTTTCGTGTTTGTAAAGTTAGGAAGTTGGGATTTTCTATGGGTTTTATATTTGGCCAATCAATCCGACCTACCAAATTTCATAAGGATCGGCCGACTATATCCTATAGCTGCCATATAACTGATTGATCGGAAATGCCATAACTTTGGTGTTTGTAAAGTTAGAAAGTTGGGATTTTCTATGGGTTTTATATTTGGCCAATCAATCCACCCACCAAATTTCATAAGGATCGGCCGACTATATCCTATAGCTGCCATATAACTGATTGATCGGAAATGCCATAACTTTGGTGTTTGTAAAGTTAGAAAGTTGGGATTTTCTATGGGTTTTATATTTGGCCAATCAATCCGACCTACCAAATTTCATAAGGATCGGCCGACTATATCCTATAGCTGCCATATAACTGATTGATCGGAAATGCCATAACTTTGGTGTTTGTAAAGTTAGAAAGTTGGGATTTTCTATGGGTTTTATATTTGGCCAATCAATCCGACCCACCAAATTTCATAAGGATCGGCCGACTATATCCTATAGCTGCCATATAACTGATTGATCGGAAATGCCATAACTTTGGTGTTTGTTAAGTTAGGAAGTAGGGATTTTCATGGATTTTATTTTTGGCCAATCAATCCGACCTACCAAATTTCATAAGGATCGGCCGACTATATCCTATAGCTGCCATATAACTGATTGATCGGAAATGCCATAACTTTGGTGTTTGTAAAGTTAGGAAGTTGGGATTTTCTATGGATTTTATTTTTGGCCAATCAATCCGACCTATCAAATTTCATAAGGATCGGCCGACTATATCCTATAGCTGCCATATAACTGAACGATTGGAAATGCCATAACTTTGTTGTTGTTAAAGTTAGGAAGTTCGGATTTTTTATGAGTATTAAGAATACATCATATGAATAATTTTGGAGAATATAATTTACAGAGTATTCTGCAAGGGTATATCAACTTCGGCTCCGCCCGAAGTTAGCTTTCCTTTCTTGTTTTACAATATGTTTACTGTAAAAGTTGTTATCCCAACCAAATGCAAATTTCTTTATAAGATTTCGATTATGAAAATTTGTATTCAAATTAAAAATATAAAATAATTCCATTATCATCCTCTGATCGTGATAAATAAAACAATTTAAAAATATCTTAATCGTTTTTCTTTATTTAGTAATTAAATTATTAACTAAATTTAGACGAGTAGACACTTTATACAACATTTTAAAAGTATTAACATATAATCAATTTACGATATAGGAAAAGCTTTAAATAACGGTATATGTAAAAGTAGATGCTGCAACAGAAATGTGGTTGTGCGGTTGACAGGTGTGCGATAGTGCTAGAAAGTGCACATCTTAAGACTTACTCTACGTAGTGAAATATTTATATAATCTCATATAACTGTGCTTGGCTTGCTGTGAGTTTATAGCTCCGAAATGATTTGTAGAATAATAGCTTATAATTAAGTATTTTACATCTCTCAATACCTGTTAATGACGACATTTTCATCTGAATTGGATCTATTTATTTCGACAGAACGTAAAGGGTGCAATCGGGGTCTGTGGCGTATTTAGTCAGGCTGATTAGGGTGCTTGGGTGCATTTCTGTAGTAGCTCAACTAAATTTCGCATGCTCGAGTGCCGCACCTTCGTCGTTCATATCTTTTCCCTTCCTGGTAATAATCCGAGCCAGAGTCCAGCTTAAAACCGCTTCAGCAGGAGTGGCTTGTTCCTGTCGGCGAACGCCGTGTTTATCCACTTAATGTCCGGCTTGGCAAAGCGTACTGTCTGCCCGTCTCCGCAGGAGTTTTCGCCGGCGAAGATTCCCTTGAGGCGGACGTTGGAGCCGGTGCCGCAGACGAGGGCGCTGCCAACATCGAACTGGCAGGCGTCGAACTTGGTGGCGCTGCACACGCTGCTGGCGTCGGCACCGCAGTCACTCCGGCCCAGGGTCGAGGTGTCGGTCACGTGCATCAGGGCGCCCTCTTCATGGACTGCCGGACGGAAAGAAAGGTATAGTTAGAGTGGGTCGATTTGGCTGCACATATATCGTTGGAGAAATACGTAGCCAACAGACAATCCTAAACAAATATTAACCCTAATTAAAATTTATTTTCAAAGAAACAAAAGATAATTATTTTATTTTAAGTTGTCATAGAAATAAGATATATAATATTTAAAACTGTTAAAATTGTTGTCTATGCTCAACAAGTTTGCTTTAGATAAATAAGCGGCAGGAAAAACCGGCTTTTTTGGTTAAACGGTTCATTGGATTTGCCACAAGTATAATAACAAAAATCAAATAAAGCGGTAAGAACGGGTCTTTATTTTTAAAACAAGGAGAAACACTATATTCTAGTGCCTCGACTATAAGATACCCGTTACTCAGCTAACCAATTAAAAAAAAATACATTTTTGACACTGCAGCACAAGCACCAGAAGATAAGAGCGAGCAGCACCCCTGCTTTAAAATAACAGTTTTCTCGCTATCGACCGGTCTCTTAAATATATGAACCACGATTCCACATATGCAGTTACGTCATTATTAATTTAATGATTTGTGGTATTGTAGTTTCCACGATCTTGAATTCCATATGAACGGTCAGCCAGATAGACAGACGGACCAACAGACGGGTAGGGCTTAATCGACTCAACTACTTATCCTGATCAAGAATATATACCCTATAGGTTCGGAAGAGCTTCCTTCTACCTTTCCAACGAATACAAAATACGGGTGTAAATATCTAAACTAAAGTATTTCTGCACTTTTTATTTTGCCTTAGAATGCTAAAACTATATAAACCTCTTTGAGAAATTCAAATTTGGTACACACAAAATTTATCATAATTTTTGTTGGTTTTAAAAACTTTTTACTATATTTTGCTAGCTTTTACTTTTAACTTTTTTTTAACTCACTCAAAAACAAAGATGAAAGCTTCCGGTTACAGGTAAGAACTTAAACGTCTATTTATATTCAGCAAATCAAACAAAATCACCTCTTAACGAGTTAAAAAAGTCATGACGATCGCAATTCCAAAATTAAAAATGTTTAGATTCAAATTTTGTGATAAAAAATAATTAATCAGTAAATAAACTTTTTAAAATGTTATTTTTTGTATACCCTTGCAGAGGGTATTATAATTTAGGTCAGAAGTTTGTAACGCAGTGAAGGAGACGATTCCGACCCCATAAAGTATATATATTCTTGATCAGGATCAATAGGGGACTCGATATGGCCATGTCCGTCTGTTTCAATACTGTTTGCACAGTCGTCCTAAAACATGTGTACGCAGTTTGAAATTCGCCCCGATCGGACGTCTATATCCTATAGCTCCCATAGGAACAATCGGATATACCTTGCAAGAATTGATGATATTTCGCGAAGTGTAAAAGCTATTGACATGAATATTTCCAAATCGTATTTTTTATGCATACCTTAATCAGGGTAAAAGCGCGGGCCGATCGGAAGTCTATATCCTATAGCTCCCATAGGAACAATAGGGTGAAACCGGTTAAAATTTGATGATATTCAGGCTATTTCGCACAGTATATAAGCTATTGACAGAGGGTATTATAATTTTTTGTACGCAGTATATATGTCGGAACGGCCGGGATCGGCCGACTATAACCTATAGCTGCCATATAACTGATTTATCGAAAATTCCATAGCTTTAGTGTTTGTAAAGTTTCCTCCTAACTGGGATTTCCTATGGGTTTTATTTTTGGGATTTTTTATGAGTATTAAGAATGCATCATTTGAATAATTTTGGAGAATATAATTTACAGAGTATTCTGCAAGGGTATATCAACTTCGGCTCCGCCCGAAGTTAGCTTTCCTTTCTTGTTTTATGCATACATTTATCAAGGTAAAAGGGCGTGCCGATCGGAAGCCTATATCCTATAGCTCCCATAGGAACAATCGGATATACCTTGCAAGACTTTATGATATTTCGCGCAGTATATAAGCTATTGACTTGAATCTTTCCAAATCGTATTTTTTATGCATACCTTGATCAAGGTAAAAGCGCGTGCCGAACGGATGTCTATATCCTATAGCTCCCATAGGAAGCCGATCGGGCGTCTATATCTTATAGCTTCTGTCGTAATAATTGTCAAAGGCGGCGAAAATATCCATTTTTTTTATTTTATATGACGTTTTTGCAGTATAAAAGCTATAACATGAAACTATGCAAATCTAATTTATTTATGATACCCTATTCTTTTCGCTACTTTTGCAATTTTAGCATTTTCGGCAAAGTCTGCAAGGGTATTAAAACATCGGCTTGCCGAAGTTAGCTTCCGTCCTCGTTTTTTTCTGCGTTTCATAAGCTTTAAGGATTTGAGACTAGAAAGAAATCGCCAACGCTATAATATCATAATTATTGAGTTTAAATATCACTCAAAAATTCAGTTAAAACGTATAGAACGTTTATATAACGTTTAGAAACATGAGGCGTTTAAAATAGCTACTCTAGCAGGTTTCAAAAAGAATCGTAAAAGAAACTTTTTTTATATAAAGCTGTATAACAAGGTTAAAATGATTCCGGGATCCTAAGTCCTCGATTTGACTTAAAAGTCGTAGAACAAAATTTTGTATATCAATGTTAAACAAAGTTAAAATGATTTCAGCACCTCGATTTGAAAATAAAAAAATAAAAGTAATAAATAATAAAAATATTTTTTTTTCAGTACGGGACGGGAGTGTTAAATTGATATCGACGCATATATGTTTTAAATTATTTCAGCTATTGGGTTCGAAGAAATGAGCATGGCTTTTAAATTTATTGTATACTAACTTTTATACATAAATGTAAGTTAACTTAAGTGGGTCGAATTGGAAGAGAATCAAAGAAACTAATGGTCTTAAACCACGTTTCATAAAGAACGGAAAAATACATTATATAGCCACAGCCATAGAAACGATCGAATTTAAAAATACATTGTTAATTAAAGCAACATATATAATCGTATCGGGCTTTATAAAGTAGTATAAATAAATGTTGTAGACTAATACATTATTTTAAAATAGGAATAAGTTTATGGTGCCTGCTTTTGAATTTCACCAACTTTTTTAAATAGTCGAATTAATTGAACTTTGTTGTTATTTAATAGGCGAATCATAAAATCCCGCGGATCTCGCAGTTTCCTGCCTAATATTGTTGTGCACATCCCTTGAGCTTGATTAAAATCTGACAATATCCAATATATATTAAAGACGTTTATAATCCGCATCGCGTATAAAATATAGCTTTTAAATTGAAGACCAATCTTAACTTGACGTAAACGTCTGGTTTTATGCCTTTTATATTTGGCACATCTCTGAAGTTTGATCATATCTTTAAGATCAAATAAAATGTTAAAGTCCGGCGGATTGGGACATATGGCACTGTTGAATAGTTTTGCCAAATTTTGGTTCTGGGAGCACTTACTTGATAACGCCTGCTTTCCCCACCCGGAGGTAATGCACTGCTCGGTCGCCTTCGGGTCCTCGTCGCTGATGCAAATGGGTTGAATATGGGTGGCGAACTCCAAGCGCTTCTCAAGTCGGATGATGGCTATGTCGTTGGCGTTGGTCGAGGAATCGTATGCGGGGTGGACGTCGATGGACTTGGCGCCCGTCAGTTGGAAAGGCAGGGGCTCGTTCGTGCTGCCCAGCTCCCATTCGCCGGCCTTAATGCGAATGTCGTCGACAGGTAGGCTGAGGGAGATTCGGTTATTCTGCCGTCAAGAGGAGCAATTACTAAGGACCACCTACCCGTTCACGCATTTGGCGGTTGTCAGCACGAACTCGTCTCCAATGATGGCCCCGCCGCATATAAGCGTCTTGCTGGATTCGCGAAGGATCATGGCCTGCCAGGGGATCTCGGCAAAGTTGGCGTCCAGATCCTTGACTCCTGTGGGCTTCGTTCTGCAACATGGAAAATGTCCGGTTGACGGATGCGTCGGAAATGTACGGGCCTACTTACCGCTTGTTCCTTGTTGCGCAAACTCCAGCCAAGTTGACCGGCCAGGGGTCCACATAGTTAGGGTCCCGGCAGCACTTACCGGGGGCACCTGTCTCCGCCTGCAGGCAGTCGGTCAGAGGCACTCGGAAAGCCGCCTCCATGGGGCTCAGCTCAACGGGGGTCTCGGAGAGGACTCCGATGGCGTTGCAGAAGTTCTCGGCGGAGCACACGAGTGCGGAGGCGCACTTGGCGAAGTGCTTGGGGGCACTGCCTGGCTGGGGCGTGGGGAAGATCTGGGGCGAGAGCTGGTCCTCCCCGCGGTAAATCGGCTTCTCGTTCGAGGACTGGGGCACGCGGTCCGGCTCGAAGCGCGGGATCTCGTTGACTGACACAGGCGGCAGGTACTCGTTGGTGGGCCGACGCGTCGGCTGGGGGCGTGGCTGGGGCCTTGGCTGGGACTGGGTGGGCGGTATGCGGGGCGCCTGGGTGACCGTTGGAGGAGGCTGATAGACTGGCCGCCGGGTGGTCTGGACGGGCTCGTAGCTGGGACGCCGGGTGGTCGGGGGCGGCAGATACTCGTTAGTGGGTCGGGGGGCTGGCACCACCGTCGTGGGCTGCGGCCTGTACGCGGGCTGGGTGGAGCGCACTGCAGGTACTGTAGGGTTCGTTGGCAGCGGGAAGGTCTTGTCCGGCAGATTGAAGATATACCCATCTTCGGTCAGCGTGGTCGAGGGCATGCGGCAGCAGACGTCGGGCGCAGAGCAGCGGTTGGACTGTAAGGAATAGCGAGTGAAGGTAAGAGAAGGAGCCCATCTGTTTTTATGGTGTCAACGACACACGATTTAGCGGCAACCTTACTGCCACCATGGCCAGTTGTGCCGCCAAGTGCTGTAAGGGACGGAGCCACTTCACCGGCAATGCGCTACCTGGTCATTAAAACGCCCAATGCTGGCTGTCAATGGTTTTTGCGCCTGGGGTTAATGGTAACCGAGAAATTCAGCAGTTTCATGGTGCAATACACCGTGGGCGGACTCTGTGAACTGTACAGACTTATACACAAGCTAGACTGAGGCACAATTGCAGATGTGGCTGTACATATATGATTTGTCAAGTTTGTCGGCCGAGTCAATTGTTCATTGAAAGTGTCAGCTATGGAGGGGGTGTATGCAATGGCAACGACTTTGGCCGTACTGCCCACACGATTAGTGCACAACTTCAGACAAATCAGTGCCAACGGTAAAGGCCAAATTATGACAGTCCGACATTCATATTTATGGGAATGGGCTTAAATAAAATATGTCTAACATATTTTCTTATGATGAACGAGTTAACACCAAATTACGCAATCATCCCTATAATCGTTAACACTAACGCTCAAAAAAGAATAGAGTTGAGATCGGAAAGTCCCACCGACTGTTATGGGTGTTGTGCGCTTGAATCCGCACCATCTTCCCTTTCCGGCCAAGTTTTCACACGCAGCTCGAGCCCAAGGCTCAGAAAGGTCAGTGAAGATTTTAACTGGTTTTGGCCTTGGGCTTACTATTCTTTCCATTTGTATCTCATAAGTGAAGAGGCAGCTGCCACCGCATGTAATGGCAAAATAATGTGCTAATTTGTTTAAAACTAAACAAAACAGAGCCGTGGGCAGTAGTTGCTAATAGCATGACTGTTTGTCTCCGAATAAGAGTCCGGCATGGTAAATTAATTTAATTAATTAAAACAAAAGCGCTTCCGTTTGACAAGTGGTAGTCACAGCTTGGCCTTATTTTAGGTCATTAATGATGAAATTACCATTATCGCTTCCCGAAACGCTTGTCCTTCCGATCGAGCGGCGACATCCCTATTTAATTTGTTTACCCTTGCACATGGTATTGTAGTTTCAGTGAAAAGCTTGCAGTATTTATATTCTTCATCAGCTTCCTGGCGAATCGATCTGGTCTGTCTTTCCGTTTCTACGCAATTTAGTCCCTCAGTTTTAAAACTATGCCACAAGTAGAAGGTACTGATCGGATGGACTACTATATGAAATAGCTCCCTTAAAAAACAATCGGACAAAAAGGGAAATGAAAATGTAACTTGGTTGTTTTCTAACATATATCGAAATTCTTTGTTAGCAATTTCAAAAATACGATTTTGGTTCTTTAAAAACCAGAAGACCGTACACAATCAGGAAAAGGGGAAATAAAATTATAACTGGGTTGTTTCTTAACATAGTGGGTATATGTTGTATAGTAATATATAAATTTTGTAATTTGTAACGTTTTCAGAATTACGGTTTTACTACTGCCAAATTCGGACTAGATTTATTGTTATCAAATTTGAGTTCGAAATATTTAAAATTTAATTTTTGTAACTGCTGCAAGGGTATATAAACTTCGGCTTGCTTGTCATTAGGCACAACTGGCGACCGTCTGGCGCAATTTTCATCAATTAAGCGCTAATCAAAATTTATCTTAATGTAGACATCAATCGCGGAGGCGCTTTGGCGAGCAGCGCACACATTTAACATTATGTAATACATGCTATTATGTATTTTAAGCATGGCCCCTCGAGAAAGCAGGACGGAGAACGGCATATAATTTTGATCAATGACAACAAGCGTCTCTGAACAGGCAAAATCCCTGTTCACCATCAATCCTCGCCCCTGAGCTGCGATTACCTGGGACTGCCATTGGCCATTCCATAGCTTATGATCAATCATCTTACGCCAAGATAACAACTTCGACAAAAAAAACCTCAAGCTACTTGTGTACCAGCGACAACTTAAATATGTAGTCACCAGCAGCAAGCGAGCTGGGAGACTCCAAAATGCTTTTAATAAATGTTGTTGTTGGCCATACAAGACAAGTTGTCCATTATTGTTGTTGTAAATGTCGCATAGATTGTCTGGCGCAATTTGTTAATAATGTTGCGATTACTATAAGCATATATATTTTAAATAATTTTTGTATACTTTAGAGCTAAGTTTAGTGGAGGCAACTTAAGAGGCAGAAGCAAAGTAGGGGCTAACATGTAAGGTTCGTATTTAAACCGTGTCATTTCAACCGTTTTGCTTTATAAGCATTGAATAGAGTATTAAGACAAGCCCTTACTATTTTTAAATTTGTTCTCTGTTTTGCATAGTTGTGACTGTAACTAGACCATACCAACGTTGCTTAATTTACTTGTTTAGTTTTCAATGCTCAAACTTAGCACAGATTGAAATTTTTTTAATTTAAAAAATCATAAAAAGATTCGTCATTAAACAAAATACTTTTCTTATTCACTTTTTTAAATTGAAATTTCAAAATGTCATATGGAATTATATGACTTATTATCCGAGCTTTTACTATAAACAACCTCAGATCGAACCCGATCGAAACGTATCGATTTCACTTTGAGGTGTGCATACCATGACTTTATGGCGAACAGACTGACATGGCTAGATCGACTCTCCTGGTGATGCTGATCAGGAATACACATATTTCTTGTCCTCAAAACTGAGTCTTAAACTGCGATTATAAATTTTGTGAATAATAGTATTACTATTTCCAAGGCTTTTAATATCTGGCAATGACTTATTATTTAAAAAACTTTAGGTGACTTTTATTTGTAAGCTTGAAAACAAAAGTATTGTTTTAATTCCTTACTTTTTGATAATGAGAAAAATAATATATAGGCTCAGTTTAAAAGAAACTCATGCAGTCGGCTTTTTTTACGGATGAAGATCAAGTTTAAAAACGATGAACGACGTCTATAACCTATACTTGCAAATAGAAAGAACTGAACGATCGGAAATGCCATAACTTTGGTGCTTGTAAAGTTAGGAAGTTTGGATCTTCTATGGGTTTTATTTTTGGCCAATCAATCCAACCTACCAAATTTCATAAGGATTGGCCGACTATATCCTATAGCTACCATATAACTGAACGATTGGAAATGTCATAACTTTGGTGTTTTTAAAGTTAGGAAGTTGGGATTTTTTATAAGTATTAAGAATGCATCATATGAATAATTTTGGAGAATATCATTTACAGAATATTCTGCAAGGGTATTAAAAATAATAAGTCCCTACTGTTATGTTTGAAAATAAAAAAAAAAAGGTTGTGGCATAAGGTTTTCTTGCAATCGCTACTAAGCGAAATAAAAAAACATATTTACAAAAAACTAACGTTAAATTTTTAGGGAGACGATTAATGGGCATAAGGTATATTTTTTTAACTCAACACCTTTTTATTTATGTCTATAGTTACATATCTCTCCTTTTATAACCGGTATAAACTTGATGATGGTTTAAAAACAAATTTTCATAGTTTTTAATCGAATTTTACATCCATGGGCACGGGCTGCCTAAGTCGCTTTTATAGCTTAGGAAAAGGTCAGCCGTGACGACATCAGCAGCGGCGAAATTTACGACATTATAGCTTCACTACAAACATAAAACTATTTTTATGACTGCACTAATGCGCCACTAGCACAGCACTAAATTCGCCGTTCTTACTCTTCGCGTCTTTCCGCACACAAGTTATATGCCTATAAAGTGGGCATTTTTTAGATTTGGACGTTTTACGAGTGGTTATCCTAAGCCAGCGTTGGCCGTGAAGTGCAAGTGCAAGCAGGTCGTCCGCCAGCTTTGACACAAGTTCGGCGCTTAAGTCTTTTGTTTATTCTACATACGTCGATGTTTATGCATAAGCCCCATATGCAGAAGTCTGGGCGTAAGACCGAATATTTATGACCAATTCAATGAATATGTGCGTTGCCCCACACAAAAACTAATTAATTATAAGTGAAGTCAAGTGGCAAGGTGTCATTGTAAACAGCACAAGTCGCATTTATGTTAATTATAACAAAGCCGGAGCCATTGATATTTTATCGATATGTAACGACGCTGTCGCTTAACGGCAAACCGAGCTAATAAAACCATAACAATATTAATGATCATAAAATACGCATTAAGCCGAAGGAAGCCAAATATCTACCACAAAGCGAGTCCGCACAGTCGGCCACGATCGAATAAATGTTAAGCGCTGTCAACGACTTTCAGCCAGCCATAAGAGCATGCGAGTAAGCTCGCGCAGACCAAGACCCCGAGCTCGACCTAGACCTTGAGTTTACCGCTTGAGTCTCTCCGTCTGCTGCATGCTAAGGCGCTCGATTTGCTCTGTTTGCCCCGCATGCTTTGTTGGCATACGTGTTTTACGGCGTTGCCCTGTTACAGCTTGCCGCTTCCAAAGCGTCACGAAGACGGAAGGTAAGATTCCATAATAGCTGTGCCCTAATATCATAACCTGCTTCTTACCAAATCAGGCTATTATGCGCATGCTGTAGGTGCAAGAACCAGCCAAAATAATAACAATTACCAATATTACCTGATCAGACAGGTTTTAAACACTTTCTTTACATAACATTTTCAGAAATATAAGCATTTAAGTTAAATCGTAAGCATAATTAAAGTAAGCAAAAATAAAAATGTACTATAATTATGGTGATCATGTCAGCTCAGTATGCGGTAATTCAACAACTAATATAATCAAAATAAATAACAAATTAAAAGACAAAAAAGTCATCGAACTATCAAAATTTAAGTACAACATTTAACCATAGAACAATAAAGGTAATGTATAACTTTTAATTTTTTGAGGTAATGTATAACGTTAACAACATTGTTATTGGGCTTCAGTTCTGTCAAATATGACGGTGTTAAACTTTAAAAAAAAAACAAGCTTTGATTAAGTTTCACAGGAGTTTGCATGCCCAATTCAAATTATCTAGTTTTAATTAATTCGGAAAATGTTCGTTCTACCTGCTCGAGTTATGTGGAAATAAGACCCGTAGTACTGTCAATTTTAAGCGACTTTTAGCAGTTTTACAACAAACTCGCCCCTCAAATAATGCTGTTCATATCCAGTCTTCCGTCCCCCGAATAAAATCGAATGCAAAAAAAGAGAATAACACACACATGTTTATAATTGTCAAACGAGTAGCAAGTAATCGGAAATGCAAATAAAAACAAATATTTTTCCTCAATCCATTGCCAGAATGTGCATATTCATTTTTCCATACATGGGTGCTTCGGCCCTCCGTTCATTATGTCGGATTTCCACTCAGAATTAAGCGACCTTGCCGGCATTCCTCGCATTTTTAACTGCGAAACTACACAAGTCATTTACCCTCTTTTCTTCTCTCGAATCACTACAGACATGTTATTGATAATATAGCTGTTGCCCTGTCTGTTGCGTTCGTACTCTCCAGTGTGCATTTTGTAGCATGCCACGCAATTGACGTTAATGCTGCATAACTTAACGAGTCGTGCCATGATGGTGTGTAGCTGAACGGCGGGGAAATCTTGCACCCAATTGAGGGCCAACGAGAAATGGCTTCATGATCGTAGGTTCTTATTCCGAATTGAGGGGTTGCGGTCTTTAAGAATGTGTTTAGTTACTTTGTCCAAAAATACCTAGCTGTATCTTGAAACAACCTTAGACCTGGTAGCAAGCAGTACAAACCAGCAAATTTGGCAATTCAGAAAATGACAGCAATGATAGCGCTGAAGCTGGCCTGCAGCTGTTGCGCTGCCATCTGCACTGCAACATATTTTACTTGCTGCGCTCATTTTTTCAGGCATTGCATGCATCAGCACCGTACGCAACCCGGTTTTCCGGCCATTGCATGTAGGCAAATTATGCAATTGCGCTGGAATGGTGAAAATAAGAGATCTCTCTTAGTCGCAAGTCTGTTCGTCTCTCTGAGTCTTGGTCTCTCCAATCGAACGCGATGCTGAACTGATGAACCGATCTACCGCGACCTATATATATGTATATACATACCTACTCATGTTTTTACCTATGTGTATACTTTCTGTATATATTGTTTCTCTGGTAGGCTGTAATTTAACACTTTTTTGACTCGGATGCGTGTATGTAAGGCATTACTTGTAGGTTCAACCGCATTCCAGTTTGATTGCTGCCTGGTGGCGTCAAGTTCGTTACCGCTGCCAGAGTTTTTTGAATTAAATCTTCGCCCTGTGGCAATGTCATTGCTAGGGCTGCCAAAAAAATACACTTAAAAACAAATCTAATTTTTAGTCGTATATGGCTTTATAATTTAGCTCAAAAAATGACTATATCTTAAAAAACAAGTCTATTTTTCGATAAATTATATGGTTTGAATATTCTTACGAAATCCATAAATCCATTGCTCATAAAAAACTTAATTTTTGGCAAAAGTTAATTAATTTTTTTTTCTTAAAATACTGGTTGTTTTTGCCTTGAAAATCGGAAAAATCTTTTAACTCACAAAAATAAAAACTGCAAAATTTATTTATTATAACCACAAGGATATTATTTTATAATTTAATGGTCACTTCCTTTTTAAAGCAAGAAATAAAAATGTCTCAGAATACTTTAAAATCTAGCAAGCTATCTCATCCCATCACAGCTTAAATATTTACATTAGTTACGTTACACATATATATGAACAGCGAGTCTTTGTCTATGTGGTATGCATCGTAGCAGAGCGCGTGCTCAAAACCCATTTAGTATGTTCAAATGGAACCAAAGGAATAAATGCGAGCTAAGCATGGTATATATTTATACCCTTGCAGAGGGTATAATAATTGTAGTCAAAAGTTTGCAACGCAGTGAAGGGGACATTTCCGATTCTATATTTTTAGTAAATTTTATCGCCGGCAAGAATCGAACCCTTGACCAACGAGAGTTGGTCGGTGTAACACTATGTTGGAACCGTTTCCAAATATAATATATGCTACAAATGGTTATGAATTTTTTACAAGCTATTATAACTTTTTACTTTATTTTTAGTACAATAAAAAGTCATGATCATGTTAGATAATTTGAGTCAACTTAGTTGAAAACACAAAGGCACATGTGTGTTTTGCCGTATTTTATATGTCTTGCATGGGTATTAATACTTTTTCCCAGATAAAACTAATTCAAAAAAGTTTAAAAAATAAAAAATTGTGAATCTTAGATTTCTGGCCAAGCGACTTTTCCGCTACAGGGTCAGCAGCTTGTTCGAGTTAAAGGTTGCTTTTCTTATTTTTAATGCTTTCTTCTTGATTTCAACGGTAATTTTTGTCTTTAACAACTTAAAAATGTTTTTGCTGAGGGCCGAAAATTTTCGAATCATTCGCGTTTTTACCCTACTCTTTTTTATTATTTTGAATACTATTTCTTTCTTAATTTCTTGTTTTGTAAAAATTCATAGGATTTTAGAAACCATCCAATTGCAAATTTTTCAAAAATTTCTAGTTAATTTTTTTTGAGTGTAAAACTATAAACATCCCAATTTATAGGCGTATTTGGTAAAAAACCAGTAAGTTATGTAGATTTTCCTACATATTATTTTAAGTTTTTCCCATGGCAACCATTTATTGAAAATTGCTAAAATTGTAAAAACGAAAGTTCCTATGGCACTTAAGTTATGTAGCCATCCTGCCCGTTCCGACTATATAATTACCAGCAATAGAAATATGACTTTTTGGGACTAGTTTGGCAGAATCAGACGGGCAGACAAATATACGGGTAGAAGTACAGACGGTCTTGGGTAGAACAACTCACCTAGTGATGCTGACGAAAAATACTTTTAGCTTATAAGTTTGACTGGTTAATTTGTATGCCCTTGCTGGCGGTATTAAGTTAGGGCATACAAATGTACCAATTCGATAACCAACTCAGACATACATATCAAACTATTCTGGTTTCAGAGAATCCCAAGTGAAAAATCAGAGCAGCAATTAAAACTAATTGTGTGCTAATAAGCTGTCGGTGTTTTAGCCGCTGTTGTGTTGGTTTTTTCTTGGTTTCTTATGCACCGCTGGGCTTGTGAAATGTGCTACGATTGTTGCGGTCAGGCCCGATTCCGGTAATGCAAGTTGCATTTGCTGAGGTCGCTTTGTTTGCGTTGTTTGGGTTGTTTGGATGGTTACTAGTAAAACTTAAAGTAAGCTACTTTACCAACGGAATTATTCTACACAGGCCGATTGAATAGGAAAACCCTTTTTACAACTGATGCCAGGATGGTGGTTTCTCCTTTGATTGCTTATCAATGTTAGTGGCCAAAAAAATTTTTGACAGCCGGCGGTCCCAATAACTTACCCCTTGTTTTTTCACGTAGTTGATAGCACTTATTTCACCATTGCGACAGTTTTCTGGGGCCACACAGTCCGAGTCTCGCGGACAGGATGCGAACGGAACAGGAGTAGTTGTTGTTGTGGTGGTGGAAGGCACCTGGTAGGTGCAGCACACGTCGGTATCCGGCTCGCAGTTCTGTGATAGTAAAGGGAAGTGGGTTAAAAACAAATTAATTCAGTTGCTTAAAGCCTAGAAAATAGCAGCTGAACATTCTGTTCGTGCGTACTTGACCAATACTGAGCCAAAACCAGCAGCCTTTAAGTTGCCTCGCACACCCACTGATTGATATTGCAGTTATCTTGGCCAAAAGGTCACTAAAGTCAGCTAGCTAGCCACTTGCATAAATGATGTGCTAAAAGGTGTCCAGGCAGAAGCTAGTGACAGTGGCCAGCCACTAGATGCTCGAAGCTATTGCATTTGCATTAAACTATGCCGCTGTCGTCTTGGCGGACCTTCGCTAATATTGCTAAAAATTTGTTTCTTACATCTAAATGCTGTCTTTTGGTCAGCTGGCATTTAGCAACTGAACAATTGCAAATTAATAACTCTGTCAGTGTGTGCCAGAGTTCAAAAGTCGTAACAGTAGCAAGAGGCGGTATCGCCTTGAAGAATTTGCAGCTCAAGAATGAAGAAGTTTGCCGTCGGGTACAGTTGCCAGAAATCCGACGTCATGGCACGAAAGAAGAGTTTAAATAACCAGTTCAGACCGCTGAGTTCCCAAAACTGGCACTCCATATATCAATCAGACCCAGAATATTTCAAATTAAACTTGTCTAAGTCCTCTTATTTATGTCTGCTCTTGTGTCCCCTCAAGCGAGAAAAGCCAAAATCTGAAACCCATTTGAATGTTTTAGTGATGGTTCTGAAGCATGACCTTGACTAATAAAGATCTTCGGCCTGAGCGTGAGGTGAACATGCTAAATGGGTATTAAATAGCACGGAAACATTTTTGAAGCCTTAATTTCGGGTTTGTACCACACAGCGGTTTTGGAAAGTACTCAAATCTAGTTTATGTATCTCTGAAATGGATTCTCAATAAAAATACTATTAGTTGTTAATGTTATGTGGAGCCCATGCGTAAAATTTTATTTGCAGTGCCTAGCTTCTTTGAGTTTGCGCGAATGAATATGCTTATGGCATGTGTTTTAAGCTTATTCGTCAAACCAGCTCGACATATTCGTTTCCACGGACCCGGAACTAGAATTGGTGTAGCCTCAAGACTGTGGATTTGACTCACAGGTCGATAAGCTCATAGGAAGGCTAACTAATTGGGGAAGATCCCCGACATTTGAAGCACACAACTATTGCCGATTTTTGACATCATCATTTTGTTTACTTTTTCTAATTACATTAATATTCCCATCATATTACCTCGATTATTTGAATGTGTTGTTTTCTCACAGCGTTCTCACAGATCGACGGAACAATTCGACAGTTTTCCCGCTATGAGACCGAAAATCATATTGGTTTTCCGAACTCGCGGATATGATTATTACTACGGTGTGATCTGAGGCCACGTTGCCGTAAAATGACGTAAAAATAGCGAAAAATAACGCCCACGACTATTTTTTGTTCATGGCATAGTAACAATTGTTAGATGCTATTATTTAAAAAACTAAATCCAATAATTACGTATTGCCCTACACATTTTACAGGTAAATTAACTTTGAATTTAAAAGTAAAGTAACTGCTGGGGCTTTATTGAACTGGGCGTTATTGCATGCATAATAAAAATAACTTGTTATTTCCAAAATTGTTTATTAAATTAATATACTCGGATCTGGCTCTGATAAAGCTTTCAAAACCACCACAACTAAATTACCGGGACCAATATATGGATCCTATTTTGTTTCGTTTTTTCCATATAGTTTTACATGAAGAATATGTAACTTAAGCAAATTGCTCGGTAATGGAAGTCGTCAGAAAGCTATAATAGTGATTAGGTGATCGAGCGCGGATCATTCGTAACTAAACTTCCAAACGCTTTTTTCTTGAAGTTTTTTTTTTGTTTTTGATCATGATATCTCAAAAACGACTTGACCGATGTCGCTCAACTTTAAAAGGCATATTAAACTAAAATAATTTAAAAAAAAGGTCAAACCGATTTTATTATACGACAAAATCTTAAAAATATTTCAACAACGCAAATAAAATTTTATTTTCAACATTTTAGGATAATCCTAGCCACCCTTTGCATAATTTATTCAGCCAGAATCGTTGTTACTGATACATAAGTTTTTTATTACCCCTTATTTTCTTGCAATATTGGTTGCTTATATTCACTTGGTAAAATTTGTACTTGTGGTTGAAATGTCATTAAATACTGAACTGAGCAACACAAAACTTAGGCTCCGTTTACAGTTGAGCTGCGTGGTTGCGTAGGAGTTTGTCTAAAATTTAGACCTGCAATTATCACCACTAACCACGTTTAAAAAGTGGCGATAAGAACAATCGAAAAAATAATGGAAATATAATGATAGCTTTGATGTTGTTAAACATAAGCAAATATTTTGAAATATAGTCATTTTTACACCGTTTTACAGGGTCAGTCCATACCACTTCCTTTAATTGTTTTTATTTTGTTTAAAAAAACTTTATTAAAAAAAATGTGTTTTACGAATTTTTAAAAAATAAGTTAGTTAAGCGGGAAACCGAAAAAGCTAGATTTCAAACAGATTACAGTTTCTAGGTACCTAAAGATACTGACAGTAGCTATATGTTGTTGGAAATTGCATTTTAAAGGGTTAATAACTTAGTATTGACATCATTTTTGTAAGCGAAATAGTTACCTAATTATAGACCAGAGTAAGATTTTGTGCACTTTTTGGGACTTCCTAATTTGTAACGCCTAACACATTTTTCCCGGAAAACTCCCTCTCTACAGTTAGTTAATAAGCTTAAAAAAGTTAATTTCAGTAAATTTCAGAAAACAATTTCAAACAAATTTGCTGAAGGAACATTTTTATTAGAACTTCATTTAAAGGAAAGCATAAGCCATTTTGTTAGGACAAGCAAAATTTGGTTTTAAAATAAATAAGAAGTAAAAACATAAATTTCGAGTCGGCCTAAGTGAACTTGACTATAACTAATTAGGATTTTTTAGCAAGTGGCCCTAAGGCTACAGGTGGTGTTCAGCTAAGATTAAAAACATTTCTGAACGAGGTAAAAAAGTCATGACAATCTCACACTCAACATAAAAAATTATTGATACACAATTTTGTGACGATAAATAATAAAACATTCCACTAAATAAAGCTGAAAAAAATTCCTTAACGGCTTAAATATTTTGCCGAAGCTAAGATTTTATGCTTACTGTTAATAGCAAACAGATTTATACAATGTTATAATTTTTTGCGTTAATTGTTAGATACCGAAACGGAAGCTATCTTTGAAAAGTCAAAGTTTGGTTTCAGTTTATTTCAGTTATATGGTCATATTGGAAAAAAATATACAAGATATACTCATATTTTTGTAAATCAACCAAGCTTGGAAAACTTTACCCAATCGTTCCAACAGAAGCAAAAGTAAAATGTGACTTTTTTAAAAAATCTGCTGATCAAAAGGCGAAGCCGACAAAAGGTAAAACTTTTGCTTTTGTAAGATTAGCCAGACTTTTGTTTTGATTAAGATAAAACAGTAGCCAAATTTATACTTTTTGTAAATATTTACTATCAAATTACTATCAATTTGCGTTGGTCTTTTTAAGATTCTTTGTAATTATTTACTCCAAATATGATATCGGTTCAAATTATGCCACTTGCTATTTTTTTGTTTTGTATAATTTCCTTTTTAATTTTAAAATCCTTTTTCTTCCCTGATCTGTATTGCTTATATTATTTATCGGCGCGTAGCCCAGCTGACAAAAATGCGTAGCACGGACGACTTATGTTTTTATTTGGGCACACATATATATTATTATATATGTATATGTTTTGGGCCCAAAGCGAACTTGGCGATGAACAATTAAACATGAACTTCGCTTTTTATTCCATTTCGTGGGATTACGAAATTCCCCAAAGCTACGGTCTGGCCTGCACGTATGTGGTCTGGTATTTCGGACCTCAGTAATGACAAACCGGAAAATAACGGTAACTGTGCCAAACAAATCAACTCAATCCAACCACAAATACAACAACGTCTGGAGCAACAACAAGAAAATGCAGATCAGGCAAGCTAATCGACAACAACAACGACCGCAATATTTTGCGCTTTATCGCTACAGACGAGCTTTTAATTTGTGATTTAGGTCTTCGTCGGGTTCGAACGGATCTGACCGGATGGCTCGGATTGGAGGACGGCGGGTATTGTCAACCGTTTACTTTTTCTGTCCCGGGAAAACCTCAAATCAATATCCCATTATGCAATAGACGACCGACCAAATGGGTGCCCCAGATTGCAAAGTATTACTGAGCTCAGTAAGTAGTCAGCCACCTACCTGTATCCTAGGCAACTGTTGGGAGAAGATTCCGTTCAGGCACTGACCCTGTCGAACGCACTGCTGGCCGGGGAGGCACTTCAGGTACTCCTTGGGCGGCAGGTAGGTCGGTCCCTGGAACGGCGACGCTTGCCTGCTGATGATGGCGTGGTTAAGAAAGACGTTCGTCGAGGGGTTGACTGAATGGTGGGTCTCCTTGTGTTCCTTGATGCTATTTTGGTACTCGCCGTTAAGGAACATGTTTGCCTGGTAGTCGGCACTGGCCAAAGCCAGCACTGCCAACGTAATGCATACGTAGAGCTGTTTCCAAAACTGTAAAATAGTCATGGCTCTTCGACTCTCTGGGTCTGGGTCTAAATAACTGGGGGAAATCAGAAATAGAAAATAAATTATTAGCAACAAATACGTGCGTCACAGAGCTAATGGCCGTATAGAATTCAAAGACTACCGACCGAAGTCGGCGCTATATCGTCACCATCTAAATGCAAACACTGTTTGATGACATAAGTTCTCAACGGGATCGTGCCAGTGCCATACAAGTCCATCTTGTGGCACAGACTGCCACCTTTAGATGTGGCGAGACAACGAGGCAGACCGTTAGGTGCGAGACCAATCCGGGCAGAAGTGGCAGGTGCGACCAAGGAGGAATTTTCAAGTCTCAGTCTCTGGTGCCAGTAGTGGCTTCTATGGCAACCTGTCTTGGCTAGATCCCCCAATCTACTCTGCAAGAGATCTGCACAATTGCCCGAGCTCAAAGCCATGTTCTCGAATTTGTTGTAGAGGACTGCCAATTATCTCTCAGAGATAAAGTTGGATAAGTAACTACCCTCCGGCGGTTGCCTAATTGAACAACTGGTGTATAAGCCTATAAATAGAGTTATCTGAAACTAAAGACTAGCCCAGATCAAATCCGGATGGGCTTAATTCGCTTGGGGAATTCTGACGCAAATTGAGTCACTGATTTTCGAATCGTAAATCAACAAAGAGCTAGATTTGCATGTTGTTCCATCGACAAATTGATCTTTGAGTCGAAATGCGGGATGCGTTCGCCGTGACTCAACGCTAAAAATAGGCAAAAAGCCGCTCTAATCCAAAGCAAGAACAAAAAAATAAACGTCAAAATTTAAGTATGTGTGTATACACAAATCAAATTGCTGGTTTTTACCCAACAAAAATTTGCATAAAATATTTTCTGGCTTCTTGGTAAATTTGAATTTTTTTGTATTTAGAAATTTGTTGAAACTTTCTATTTCATGATCGTAGAACTCATGGATAATATATATTTTGATATTTTGCTCGCGGTCATCACAAACATTTCATTGACATACTTTTCTTGAGTTACCCAAATAGGAGATGGAAAAGAAGAGGCAACGAACTTTCTTGAAAATGATGGCAGCTTTTAATTTGTTTTTAATACCATATCAGACTAATTAGTATGGCTTTGGCATATTTTCCAAAAATAAATTTAAGGACACCGAGAATGAATTCATTTATAGTTTTATTACTCTTTAATATTTATGTTTTCTTTTTGCTTTGGCGTAGGTTAGTACGCTTTTTGAAAAGTACGCTTTGTGTACCGGTCAGAAACTCTTGCATCATTTTTTCCTAACGACAATGACGCGGCTAGTCTAGTTGGACGCCAAAACCCAGATGCCTTAATACCATCTTACAACTCTTCCACCTAACTGGCATATGTACAAATGTAAATTGAATTTCGGTGCTGGATTTTAGAAGATGGTGGTTCTGATGCTTCTATGTTGTCTGCTGGTGCCGTTTCTGCTGCATTTCCGTGGGCGCTTTTCACATAAATTAAAACGGCAAAGTTTTGTCTTGGCGCATTTGGCAACAATTCAACAGACTCAGTACCGAACAATAAACAGCAAAGTTCAGATCGCATCACCAACAAATACATTTCCACCAAGCTAAACACAATGCACAGTGGCAGCCAAATGCGAATACGAAATGGCTGTACAGACCAACGGACGGGTGGACGGAGTTAGGGACTCGGCAACCTCGGAGCAGCGACAACTAAAACCAAATCAATGGAACTATCCATCAATCAATCAACCGCAAATGAATTTAATTTTCAGCCACAAAAGGCTGCGGCTGCCTTATAGCCTATAGCCCATAGCCAAATTGGCCTGGATGCATTGCAGCATTTGCGGATGTGCCTCGCCGGAGGCTGGGAGCACAATACCAAGGGGCTTATCCCATATGTCCTTCAACTTTTCACTTGACCACCGGCCGGTCACACAGTGGGTGTGTTTGGAAAGCCATGCCCGGATCCCTTCCCGGAAGTGGCCCTCGGGTAACCCATTTCACGTTGATCAATTCGATTTCAGGGGCAGTTTCTTACACTGAAAAAGGCCAAATCTTCTCGGACTCGAACTCGAACTCGAACGCGCGAACGAACAACTTCAATATGATTGTGAATATTTGGCCAAGTTCGTTTGTTTTATATGTGCCCAGTAAAGCCAGCCGCAACGCTTCGCAGTGGCTTCGCAGCCGACGTCTGCATCCGAAACCGCAGCCTCAGAAGCCGAAGATGCGAACAAGTGAATCACTGGGAGCCGCCGTCGCAGCGCAGCCTGCGCCGGCAGATGAGTCAACGCCTGCGTTGACACGGCGTCGACGCCGGCGCAGCGCCAGCGCTCGGGCTCTCCGCATGCTTACTTTCGCTTGGTGCGGGTTGATCTTGGCTGCTCTGCCCAGAGTCAGCGTGCAGTCGCAGAAGAAGCGGCAGAAGCTTCGGACTCTCGGCTCTCGGCTCTGAAGACTTAAAATTCTCGTTTTACCTTACGCTCGTCTGGCGACGCGACTTAATTAGGCTTGAGCATTCCGGGGGCTTTACATTTTTAGTAGTGCTATGTCGGGCTCTATTGAGAGCTATTACTAATTAATTGTTGTTTCAGGGTCTGGTTTCGGGCTTAGATTTTGATTTGGTGCGGGCTTTCGTTCACAATTTGCAGAGTAGCCGCAAATATTTTAAGGTATGCAAATAATTAAATTCACCGTAAAAGCAATTATGACAAGGCAGAAAATAAAACAAATCCGGATAGGTTTGGGTAGACGTCACCGAAATGATTTGCTATTGATTTTTACCCACACACCGATTAATATTACAAGAGATCACTGTATACAAGTTCATATATATTTTAAGTCCTCACCCATGCCGCCAAGAGCTCAGAAAATTAATAAGCCAAAAAGGTCATTATCAAAAACAAAATACCTGAGGGCGAGCAAATTACATACTTCTACTGTCTCAAGCTCGTACAAGAAATCATGGACCCTCGACTGCTGCCAGCGGACATAGAAAAATTGAAAAAAATCGAGGCACCATTGAAACCAAGCACAGTCCAACAAACTCATGTTGCAATTCGACAAAACAAATTAAGCCAAAGCATAAACACACAACACATAGTTTGATACAATTTATTGCATAAATAACTACGAATAGTCATTGACTACACTCATAAAAACTTTATTTGAAAATTAGGAAAATCGCCATAAAATATTTTAAAGGAAAGTTTTTAACAACTTTTTGTTATTATTAGTCTTAAAGTAAGAATGAATTTTTAAGATGTTTCTTCTTCTTACACCCAGAATGAAATACCTTGAAAAACTATAAGCAAAATTTGTACTTCATTGCAAATTTCTCAAAAATCCAAAATTAGAACAAATAATTTTATTTTAAAATATATCTTTTTTTTTAGGCATAAAATTATTTCAGATAAAATCTCTTACTTTATTTTCTAGGGTCTTTATGCTTTAAGACATTTTAGCTTTTTAACTTCTCGAAAACAAAAAAAAAAAAAATAGAATTTGTTTAAGAAAGTACAAGTTTTACCAATGTTACAAAAGCTGAAATATTACATTTTTGTAATCTTTGTAATAAAGTTGGATACATTTTTACTTCACAAGTCTTAAAAATTTTAAATATAAAAATATTTTTATTTAATTAAATTTGTTTAAAAAGCAAAGCCATACTTATTTTCAGATGGCGACGATATGGTATGCAATTTTTTTTTAATGTATTTAACTATCGGATGTGAAAATATAAGAAGTGCAGCATACCTTTGGGCTACATTCGATTTATTTAAAGGGTTAAATGGTGTTCATGAACCATTTTTCACGAAGGCAAGCTATTACTGATTGATTTGAAATTGTGTCAGTTAAATAATTAATACAAACAAATTAATTAAAATTATATTTCAAACAGATATGTTCTTAGCTCCTTCTAGTAGAAAATGCAAAAATATGACAAAAATGTATTTGAATGTTAATGTAATAAAGAAGGGTTAAACTGTTATCTTATAAAAATTTAAAATAAAAACCTTTAATATAAATCTAATGTTAATGTAAAAAAGAAGGGTTAAACTGTTATCTTAAAAATTTAAAATAAAAATTTAATTAAATTAATTAATTAAAAACTATAACAAAAGATTTCTCTTTTAAGTTAAATTTTAAAATGTACTTGAAATATAATGTGTTGATATTCTTTATTTGGCTTGTTTCGTGTGTGTTTTTCTTTAATTTCAGATCTTTGTAAATGTTGTAATGTTATAATTGAGTCATTAATTACTTATTCGATGTGCACTTCTTGCGACTTTTTCCGATATTTAAAAGTGTTTGGCCTCGACTTTAAGCTGTAATTCTCTTTTTTAAAATGAAATGCAAACTTATTCTTTATTCAATAATATTTGTTTTAAGACCATGCCATGTCTTTTTTTCAATGAGAAAACTTTGTTATACAGATATACAGGTTTTAAGGTGTACCCGAGTATGTTTGGGATAGTATAAGTAATTTTATGTGTGTCCGTCCGTGTTAAAATTGGCGTTGATTTAAAAATCGTAGTTGGAAAATTTTTGAGATAACTGTTTTTCGTACGACCCACTTTATGTCGCCTAGGCGAAGCAAGGCACTTAAATAGCGGAAAACGCTGGCGATCAAAAATGTAAAGGCTTTCTGATCTTTGGTTGGGAGCAAGCAAGTATATCATCAATTGATCGCTTGAAGGATGAATGATTCTTTTGGATATCGTTGATTTATAAATTTTAAAATTACTTCTAAAGGATAGATTGATAACATATGACTTAATAATATATGACTTAATATATGACATAAAAAAAGGTCATCGTGGACTTGCCTCAAAGAGAATTTTTGTAGTATGCCTGAGTACTGAGATCGACGAAATCTGTTCCTCGGCTGTGAGAGAGAGAGCGAGAGGCAAACCGTCAGCGAACTCTTTTCGTCAGGCCCTTCATTCATTTCGGTACTCAGATCGACCAAAAAATACCAGAAAGTTACACATGAAATGAACTCTAGTGGACGTTCGTCAGGCACTAGCGAAAATATTAAAGCCTAGTACTCAGATCGAAAAACTAGTTCGCTAGCGGAAAACTTTAATCTTTCCATTGTAACCGCATTTTTGAGAGTTCATCAGTATTGAGCGTGCTACGGTCGTACTGTCAATCAGCTGGGCTTGTTAACAAGCAGTTCAAATTCAAAAATCTTATTTGCGGGAAAGAGCTTTTAAAGGACATTCTCAACTACTTTGGCAAGTCATGTTTGCCGCTATACAAAGAAATTAGAAAACAATATAAATAAAATTCAAATGTGGTTTTTTGATACCCTTGCAGAGAGTATTATAATTTTAGTCAAAAGTTTGCAACGCAGTGAAGGAGGCATTTTCGATCATATAAAGTTAATATATATTCTTGATCAGGATCCCTAGCAGAATCGATCTAGCCAAGTCCGTCTGTCCGCCCGTCCGTTTCTATACAAACGAGTCCATCAGTTTTAAAGCTATCTGCTTTAAACTTTCCCAAAGGTTGTCTTTCTATTGCAGGTAGTATATAAGTCGGAACGAGCCGGATCGGACCGACTAAATCATAGAGCTCCCATAGGAGCAATCGGAATAAAAACGAGGACGGAAGCTAACTTCGGCAAGCCGAAGTTTAAATACCCTTGCAGACTTTGCCGAAATTGCTAAAATTGCAAAAGTAGCGAGAAGAATAACAAAAGTGTAAAATAAACCGGAAGTCTTAAGTCATAAATTTTTCCAAGTCTTATTTATTTACGCATACCTTGATCAGGGTAAAAGCGCTTGCCTATCGGACGTCTATATCTTATAGCTACCATAGGAATAATTGTTAAAAGCTGTGAAAATATCCCTTTTTTTCTTTTTTGATATGTCTGCAAGGGTATTAAAACTTCGGCTTTTAGTTTTGTCAGAATCAGACAACAATCTTATATAACTGCCATAGACATTACTTCATTATACCCTTGTTTTAATTTTGGTCAAAAGTGGCAACGCAGTGAAGGAGACATCTCCGACCCTATAAAGTATATATATTCTTGATCAGGATCACCTCCGAGTTGATATAGCCATGTCCGCGTCCGTCTGTCTGCCCGTCTGTCTGTCCGTCTGTCTGTTTCTACGCGAACTAGTCTCTCAGTTTTAAAGATATCGAATTGAAACTTTGCACACACCTTCTTCCTTTGCACGCAGTATATAAGTCGGAACGGCCGGGATCGGACGACTATATCCCATAGCTGCCATATAACTGATTGATCGGAAATGCCATAACTTTGGTGTTTGTAAAGTTAGGAAGTTGAGATTTTCTATAGGTTTTATTTTTGGCCAATCAGTCCGACCTACCAAATTTCATAAGGATCGGCCGACTATATCCTATAGCTGCCATATAACTGATTGATCGGAAATGCCATAACTTTGGTGTTTGTAAAGTTAGAAAGTTGGGATTTTTTTATGGGTTTTATATTTGGCCAATCAATCCGACCTACCAAATTTCATAAGGATCGGCCGACTATATCCTATAGCTGCCATATAACTGATTGATCGGAAATGCCATAACTTTGGTGTTTGTAAAGTTAGACTTTGCCGAAATTGCTAAAATTGCAAAAGTAGCGAGAAGAATAACAAAAGTGTAAAATAAACCGGAAGTCTTAAGTCATAAATTTTTCCAAGTCTTATTTATTTACGCATACCTTGATCAGGGTAAAAGCGCTGCCTATCGGACGTCTATATCTTATAGCTACCATAGGAATAATTGTTAAAAGCTGTGAAAATATCCCTTTTTTCTTTTTGATATGTCTGCAAGGGTATTAAAACTTCGGCTTTTAGTTTTGTCAGAATCAGACAACAATCTTATATAACTGCCATAGACATTACTTCATTATACCCTTGCAGAGGGTATTATAATTTTGGTCAAAAGTGTGCAACGCAGTGAAGGAGACATCTCCGACCCTATAAAGTATATATATTCTTGATCAGGATCACCTCCTGAGTTGATATAGCCATGTCCGTCTGTCCGTCTGTCCGTCTGTCTGTCCGTCTGTCTGTCCGTCTGTCTGTTTCTACGCGAACTAGTCTCTCAGTTTTAAAGATATCGAATTGAAACTTTGCACACACCCTTCTTTCCTTTGCACGCAGTATATAAGTCGGAACGGCCGGGATCGG